AGCATGAGATCCCAAGGGTTATGACAAATTCCAAAGGGAAACCTTTGGCCATAACTTCATGCTTTGCCTTGTAAAACTGCTGGGTATCCATTAAGGACATCAAATACTGGCTGGACAAGGTGAACTGAGAACATTTTCTGTACTCCTTTTCTTTCCCATTGCCTGATGTGACTATTCAGACAATGAAATCCTTGGATCAGGGAATTTGGGGGGTTATATTTATTTATTCCACTATATTTATTTATTTCACAGTAAAATGTAGAGACTGCCACAGTTTCATGTAGGCAGCTGCTGCATCCAGCCATGGACACTGCTGTAAATCAATTAATAAAACAGACTGGCTACATGAGGCAATAAAGTGCATTTGGGAGGAGATCAGACAACTCTAGGTTAGAACCCTGATTTTACCTGTATATTCATCCAAAAAGCTTGAGAGCTCCAGTGGCCTGGGTGGTACATCACAGTTGATAGTGGTGATTTCTAAAAAGAAACAGAAATGTCATGTACAAAGAACACAGAGGGACTGTGTCCAGAAATAGAAGAAGGTAAATAAGCTGATGCTATGTAAACCCAGATGCACACAACAGCCCAGATATTTATCATGGTGGCACCTTGAAGGGTTTAAAGCAATATCTGAAGGGTTTAAAGCAATATCTGAAGGGAGTAGGCAAACATTGGTGTCCTGGAGCCAATCTAGGACTTTACTGCCTGACAGGAGTGACTCACTGCTCAACGGTGTCCTGATGAACCATTTGTGGAAATCGTAATCGAAACAACTCTTGGACCTTGGCCCTGGAATTGTTTTCTGCTCCCCAGGCAACCACAAACATAAAGCTACTCCCCACAGAAATGGCAGCAAGAATCCTGGAGCTTTTTACCTACAATTTACTCTCCTTTAACTTTTAGAGAAGAAGCCCTTTGGGAGTATTTTCTTTTTCATGAGAAGTGGCTTTCCTAAGTGGCTTCTTGTACCTCAGTCACCTCTCCACATTTTCTCTGTGTGACAGAAGTGACAAACTTTTTGTTTTCATCATTAAGATCTACAAACCATACACACAAATATCAAAAAATTGACCAAAACTTTCCCCTTTTCCCTGACTAGAACTCAGCAGCAAAGCTTCCAGAGTGCAACCCATGCACTTACAGATACCTGTGCAGCTCTTGTGGTTTGCACCAATGCTAAGAATGTCCCTACTCCTTATCCTTGCCTTCCTTTTGGATACTCAGAGGGACATTTGGTATAAACAAGTGTTGGGCTATTTTCCCCCGGCCTTCATATCTGCCTCACTTTATGTGATCTCATTTATAAGTGAGCAGATTTCTACACAAGTCACTGAATAGAATCCTAATGACTATTTGCAGGCAGCAGCTGCTGGGTTTAGGTTTAATTCATCACCTCCATCTCTGAGTATGCTAAAGCCTCAGCTCTGGAGCAGTGAAAAAGAGAAAAATCTGGCAGTTTTTGCTTGAAGGAAGCCTCAATACATCAAACAGAAGTGAAACTTTTAGTGAAGCACTTACAACTGTGAACAGCAGAAGTAACAATGGTAACTACTCCAATCTAATTTAGCTGAGCAGCAGCAGCAAGGAATGCAACTGATTCCAACTTTAAAATTTTCCATCCTCAGACTGAGCTTCAGCCTAGGTACTTAAATTATAGACTGCTGCAGATATAAAATGATCAAACCCCCCAAAGTTAAAGAAAACTTGTAAAAACCCTTGTATATACAAGAGCATGGTCTTCACCGGTCCATCACTCAGTCCCTGAAAGCCCAAACACCACTTCCAAGGGCACCAAGATTGCTTGTTTAGAAATTATTTTATCAACAAATCAAAGTATTTGAAACTTGTAGGCTTGTGATTTGTATGAATTTAATAAATTTAATTTGTTGCATTTCAATAAAAGCAGTAAAATAGTCAGGCATTTATAAACATAACAATACTCACGTTGTGCATCGAGAGAGAGGAACACAACCCAGCCAGCCACGGTGAAAACCAGAGCTCTGGAGAGAGCCATGGGCACTGCAGGAGAAATATCCACCTCAAGGCAAAACCAGATGGTTGCTTCTCATATAGAACACTAGCAAAGAACCATTTCATTTGCCATCTCACAGGTTTGTTGTTATCCTGACAAATGCTTCACCAAGAACAAGACTGGAATGAGCCTCTGAGAGCAACCCACAAACTATAAAATGTGCTTATCATCTTCAGCTTGTGAGATCAAAGTCCTCCTGGGCAATAAACAATAAACCAACAAGGAAACCCACATCTGTGCTGTGACACAAAATGTGCCAAGTGCATTTTTATTTTAATTTTCCGACCAAGAATAAACGAGCAAGGTATCCCGGCCAATGTGAGAGGAATGTACATATTCCCTGGAAAGGAAATTAATGGGGAGTGTCAGGAGGCAAAGGGACTAGCACTGCCCCTTTTATCATGTAATGATGGCAGAGCATCTTCACATAACTCTGTTCCACAAGGAATAAATCCAGAAATCCTGTTTGAAAACTGGTTACTATTCGATGTGATGAAAGCAGACACCTCTGAAGCATGGCTAGTGTTTTACAGATACTGCACACTGGAAATAAATTCAGCAGGCAGCTAAAACATTTTACTTCAATGAAGTTATCAAAAAAAACCCAACCAAAACCACCAATAGTTTAAGCTTGTAGAGAACTTCAAAGACTACAAACTACATGATTGAAAGCATCACTTACAGGTAAATATACCTTGAATTGGAAGGAGCAACTGAATACACAGAAAATGCTGCCAGCCCAAGATATTTCTGTCATTGTGCCAGCATGTTTAGTCATTGTGGACAGTAAAGTAATTACTGCAGGCTGAATGAGAACACAAAATACAATAAAACTGCATAAAACAACTAAAAATACAATTACCATTATGCTGTCTTAGCCTTGAATAAATGAAATGTGGGAGCAACCTGAGCAGAAGCAATTAAAGAAATACTGAAAGAAGCTCAAGCATGGGAGCCATGTTTTTTGAACAAAGGCCACATGCAGCAGTGATTAGGCCTTCAGTGGTGTTATTTATTGCTGGTGCCAATCACAGGTAGGTAATTTTTTCCTAGGTTGATGTTTTCCCATATCTACAATGGCCAAGCCTTTACAAGTTTATATAGCACAGGAGGAAGGCAGGTCTGTGCACAAAATGCCTCCTGTGAAGAAGAAAAAGAAATTCCCTTACCTAATTCACCAAACACCTTCAGATCATCACAGCCAGGCCAGAGCCTAAATAATCTGATATTTGTACCAAAAAGTTATAGCAAAAAATCCTCTGGACCACTGGAAATATTCATGTGTTGGATGCCTTAATCCACTAATAAAGATCTACTTTTGGATATCCCAAGGCAGAGGGAAGGCAATGCAGCCTCAGTGTTCTCTGGGAGCTCTCTCAGAGAGCTGGAAGCTCAGCCATGAGAGGTGGCATGAGACCTTAGGGGATCAAACTCCAGCAGGATCTCCCACATTATCCATGGGGAAGCAGCCCAACAGCTGAAGGAAGAAGGCCCCTGGTGTACACAAACCCCCAGAGGCAGGTGTAGGATGAAAACTCCTGCTGAGATGCAGCACAACTCTAATTCTCTCTTTGGAAGCTGTAGCAGTGGTTTTGCTGTGAGGATCTTGGTCCAAACCAACAGCAGCAGCTCCCAGACCTTGGCATTCAATGCCCCTGTGATTCCCAGAGTGGAGGATCCCTCAGTCCTGTTCCACTTTACCAGCTGCTGCAGCCTCCCATGGGCTGATGGATCCTTCAGGCTCACCCTGGTGCTGCTCAGAGACAGGACAAGCCCTGCCATCAGGGACATGGCCACTCTGTGTGTCACTTGGCCTCAAGCCTGGAACAGCCTCTGGCTGCTTTTATTTATAGACACAGCCAGCAGGGGAGTCAGCAGTGAATCTATTCCTATGAGGAGATAAACTTAGCATGAGCCAAGGCTTCTTTACCTGCTCAAAAATCGGACTCGATCGTGCAGGTCTTTTCCAACCCAAAGGATTCTGTAACTCCCTAATTATTAAGAACCAGAGAAAAAAAGCTCAGAACACAGAGGTTCATGAAGGTCAGTTTTCACTGCGCTGAAGGGGCAATGTCTGCAGGGTCTGTGTGTGCTGCTCTCTTGGACATCAGCAATAATTTAAGGTCTGGAGTGGGGAGGGAGATGCCTAAAGGGAAGGAGAAATTGAATATAGTGGCTCAAGCAAGCATCTGATGCACAGGAGCAGTTTCCCAACACAATCCCACATGTCTGGGCACTCAACAGGAACAGGAAACAATGATTTTTAAAACATTGATTCCCTTCTGGCCAAGAGAAAGGTGTTACTCAGCCACATCAAACATGCCCACGCTATTCACACACTGGGGCAACCATATGTCCACACTTCTCCTAACACAACATCTTTTTCCCTTGGAGCTAACACTGAATTTAAGATTCTGTCCCTTTCTCCAAGATTTCTGGGCATCCAGGAGCCAGGCACAGCTCCAGGGTGCTGTAAGTTCATTTATACCCACGTGTGACAGCAGGATGACACTGAGCCTTCCCAACAGCCCACCTGCACAAATACAGGACATCCAAGACATCCCAACAGCAATTCCTAGAAACAGAATCATGGAAACTAATTGTATTCACAGATGTAACAGATTGCACCATTTAAACAATCTGCACTGGGGCAGTGCAAAGCGAAATTATGGGTTTTTTTAAACATAGCTTAGCCTGACATTTTGCATACTTGGGTCAGTTGTAGTGCAGCTCACTGAGGAATTTTTAATCCAGCTTCAAAACTTGATGCAGATAAAAATTCTTTGAAGTTCTTGTAGATTTGGAGTAGCTCTGCATTTAATGATATCCTGTTCTTGACAGATAAAAAGCCTGTATGAGGATGCTGCAATTTAATCACAAATACACATGCATGATTGAGACCATCAAACAATATCTATGCACATACTTAGCTCTTAAAAGCATCTATAAAAAACTCACACATTTCTTAAATTAATAATGTTTATTTCCATTAAACCAAGACAAATTTTCAAAATTAATACAAGATAAAAATTCAAGGTGGTTGGCATGGGGAAAAATAGATAACACTGCACATCATGTATATTATTTGTATATGCTCAAAAATATTTTTGAGTAAAACAATACTGGCATGTAGAACTGGCACTTCCCCACAGAACAAAACCAGCAGAATTTTCCTTTCTCTTCTAGTCAGTAGTTCTATGAAAACAAAATACACACACATGCAGCCTGCAACTTTCACCTCAGGTTTACCATGGGAATTTGGAACAACCCTTTATCAGAAGTCACAAAATTGTAGCAAAACACTTTTCCTACTGCACTTTTCATACCTGATGGGTTTTATAATACTTTCAACAAACAACAATCGGGTTTCCAACATTGACTACAAGTGCTTCAAACTGCATCAGTACTTGCAAACAGGCCTGAGGCATTCACAAAACCTTATTTATTGGGTAACAGATTAAAGCACTCCTGCAAAGTTAGAGCTCCTGCCCAAAATCAAAACCACTGAAATCCAATTTTGCTTGTTGGTTTCACTGGGCTCCAAATTTGCTACGGCATTGGACAAAACACACAAGTAACACTGATTATTAATTGTTTCAATAAAAACCTTCCACCTTGACAGCAGTATTTTCAAGTATTGCTATCCTAGCCTTCTAACACCTACCAAAATCATCAAGGAACAAGACAAACAAAAATGGAGAGAAGAGAATTCAAACAAATCTCCCTCTCCTTACCCCACCCCACCCTCCCACCCAGGAACTTGCTGACTTAATTCCAAACTCCCCATTTATTGTACAGCCAGGAGTTGGAATAAGCTTTCCCTGAGCTCTCTACCTGTTTCAAAAAGTCAGAACGTGTTTCCTTGAATTCAGCCATCATCATCATTATTATTATTATTGCCATTTTCTCTGCTAATATACAACATATTTCCTAGGCAAGTTATTTCATTTTGGTAGCCCTGGATTTGTGTTCTATTGCTCCAAATACAGAACTTGAAAGTGCATCTGACTTCTAAACAGTGTAAATCAGGCAGGTTTCAGGGAGTAACTAGACCCAAAAGATCTGCATGCACAAGCCTTTGTAGTGATACAGAATTAATGACAAATCTGCTCAGAAATTTAGTGGCATGGCATTAGTTAGAGAGAGAAGTGCTTTGCATGACAAGGTTTGGGTTTTAGAAGGGGACAGAGCACTGTCTGTGCAGGAGGGGTCAGGAATGGGGACGGGTACAGATTCCATATCCAAGAAAAGCAAGTGGTTCACATGCAAGATGCAATGCTGCATCTCACAGCACTGAGAGCATCTTTGGAGGTCTAGTCCCTACCTGCCACCCACCTTCAGAGGAGTGGGACTTGTGTGAGGTACACAAGCAAGCCTCAGAACTGCATGAGAATGTTGCTTCAACTAGTCTAAGTCCCAGGCATTGTCATGGACTTTAAATGCAAATCCCCAGAAGACTGACCTAAAATGTACCATCAAATACAACACAATATAAATACACAAGGAGAACTTGGGTTAATGCTGCTGACTGCATTCAGAACTCAGTAGTCTTGCTTTTTCCTTTTCAGTATTTCTAGCATACCAAAAGGCATAATTGTATCTTCCCTCATAAATAAAATTAGTCTGATAATTTAATTTTGTAGATTTATAAAATATTTTCTATGCAACTCAATGCAACAGCCTAAAAAAAGCAATTAAATTTAACTTTAACAAATAGTATATTTACAATTAAAATAAGTACAGACCTTATTGGGTTTGCATTCATTTATAGCACAAAATAATTTACAAGGCTTAAAGTAATAAATAAGTCACTGGCAAGCTTTCAGAGACGTGCATTGTCCATTGTCAGAGTGCAGTGCAGTTTCAGGAAGCAGTAATGAGTTCTGGCTAAAGCAAGTCCACGACTCCTTATGTGGGACGGCCTTGGCCAAAACGGGTTTTTGACCTGGGTTAAAAACACACGAGAAGCATATTTACATCATTAATGTAGGGTTTTTTATTATTAATGCAGGTTTTTGATGTGTGGGGGCTTTTAGTTTAGTTCCATGAGGTGGATGAAGAACAGGATAAAAAAATTGGCTGACACTTTTCCAGTTTTCTGTAGTTTCCCAAAAAGAAAATTATGTTGGAGCTGCAGTGAACCTCCCCCCAGCATGGCTCTAAGAGTTCCATTATCCCAGCTCTTCTTGAGACCAAGGGAAGCTTTTGCTCCTCATATAGCTTAACCTGATCCATAAGAGCTGTGTGAAATGAAGCATGTTTTTTCTTTAAAACCCACCACCCCACACTCCCAAAAATCCAGGAGTTGTTCCTGCTTTTATTTTAAAATCTTACCTGGGATTCTTCTCAGCATTGCTTTGTCGTGCACTGACCTGTGCTGAGGCTTTTATCTGAGCTTCAAGTCTAGAATAAATGCCTCCTGCATACTGGAATCCAGAAAAAATAATCAAGTTTTGACATGATTTCAATGTAATCAGTGACTTTCCATAAAAATATCACTAATATTCAGCACAATCTATGGCATACATTTGTCCATTATCACAACCCAGTACTGGCTTTCTTAAACCCATTCTACTTTCCACGAGCAGTTTTTAAAAGCAGTGAACTTTAAAATAATATTTTAAACTCAAATCCTTAAAAAAAATCACACTTGGAACAAAATGAAGATGGATAAAATTAATTCTTTGGCTTATGCATTGAATAGATGTTATATTTATTTGTGTTTAATATTTTTGTTAACCAAGGCTCACTTCAACTCGGCAAATATTACATTTTGCCAGGACAAATCTTACTTCTTTGCTGTCTTTGGACTTGACTCGATCAAGGTCTCCCAGTCTCATTTTTATTAAGTGCCCTGTGATCTCAGACATTCTTCTCTGATCTGCCAGAAATAAGAGAGGATATTTAGAACAAAGGTTAACATTGCTACTGAACACAAAGAGGATTAGACACAGACTTTAGTGATATGGACTTGTAATTGTTTTTAGTTTATACAAAAGTCTTGAACAGCCAGGCTCCTAAATCCTGATGTAGCCTCAGCAGCCTTGGCAGATACCAGAATCAGCCTGAGGCACTGCAGTGAGATCAAAATCTCAGGAAATGGTTTGGAGGCAGAAGTTTTTAAAACAGCAAAATTGCACAAGAGTTTCAGGAGAGATTAAAAAAGGCAGAACAAATGAACCCAATTCTGAATGTTTTTAGTCAGAGAGACTGGGAAAGAGATGGAAGTGGATGTTTCTCTGTTTATCTGCACAAACAATAAATGCCACAGGGATGCAGGATAAAATATCTGCATACTTTTCTAATCATGAGATGACAAACTATAATCTCTGTAGGTTCTGTGCTGACATTCCAAATAAAGCACATCAATCACACAAACACCCCAAATCCCACTGCTGGATCTGAGATTAAATTCACCCAACAGGGATGTAACTAAGTGAATTTTAAGAAAATTAGCAGGCTCATTTCCTTTGCATAATGTTAACTTTATGAAAGCCAAACTCATGCAGGAACAGACCATCTTCTCTCTGAGCATCCTGGTTGTATCTCAGGGACCTGGAGGCATCCCATTTGTTCTGCTGCATGCTCACACTGCAGGGGAAAGGTGCACACAGCCTGTTAGCAAAAACAGCTTAGCAGAGGGAGAGACTAAAATGTGCTCTCAAGGGCTTTGAAAATGACTTACATGAAAGGAGAAGCATCTCGGGAACTTGACTGTTGAAGGAAAAAAAACCAGATTTCATGTGGTTGTCTAAGGTCAAGTCCAAAACTTAGAGAAAATTCCTCATTATTTAAGCCAGCCAGAGAGCCTGGGCTCACAGCTGTGGTTTTACCTTATCAGATGGCTTCTCCCTTTTCTGAACACTGGGTGAAGAAACTGCTTTCTTTGGGTGCCTGTAGGATTTCTTTAATTTCTCCTTTCTCCCTGCTAATAGAAGAAATGTCTATTCACACCCTCAGATACTTGGAATTTCTCAACTACAGAGGTACTAAAATATTTTTCCCCTCTATTTCTTTACAAATAGTGTAAATCTGTTTTCCTTTTGTTAGTGTTGCAGGCATGCTAACACTACTCAAAAGCTTTTCTATGAGAAATATACAGAAACTCAACATTTAAAATGCAGAGTGATTGCACATAACAGCATACATTTTTTACCTTTAAAAATTAATGCACACACAAGCTACACTTTGGACCACATTAATTCAATGACTAAATTCTGTCATTGAATCAGATCAGCATCAGATCTGATCAGCAGTATCAGATCAAACAAGGTTAAATTTAAATTACAACATTTTCTTTCAAAATTTATATATATTTTTATACTGGTACAATTCCAATCACCCTTTGAGCAACAACAAAAAGAACAAAGAAATCATTGGAAGCCTCTCTTCCAATGAATCATTAGTAGGGTGAAAAGGAGAAGTTGGTTTTTTGCTTTCCATGTTCCTAAACCCATTAACACATTAAAAAATGAATAAAAGTATTTTTAGATCATATACAGCTTAGCCTCAATGCAGACACAATTTTATCTACATTAACCAATCATTCCTCTATGCAATCAAAAGACAAATCTGTGGGGTTTCTTTGCATGTAAAAGCAGTCATGAAATTGCTACCTTTTCTTCCAACATTCATTACATGAAATCTCATTAATTTGATAGTTTCCTGCAAAATAAATGCTTGATAATTCCAAGGACTTCTCAGACATGAATAGCTGCAGCTTTTCCTGTTTGCCAGTGATTTTTGATGGCATCAAGCAGTGGGGTAATTTGTATCTCACCACAGGAAAACCTGGGATAAAATTCAAGTAACTTTGGATTTTATTTTTGAAACACCTAATATTTAAAATCTGCTTACAGAGGACTTCTGCTGCCTCAAATCCCTCTCTGGTAACTCCAGAGATGACTGTACAGACTTGATGTACCTGGTTTCTTGCACACTTCTTCTTCATCCCCCACTTCATCCTCAGTGACCTCTGAGCCTGTGGTGTACTCCTCTTCCTCAGATAACAGTGATTGCTGCTTCTAACCAACACCAGGAGAGCCAGAGATTAAAAGTGAGCCTGGGCTTCTATTAAATGATTTAATCAATCTGTCCTGCAGGTGCTGACATCCAGCATGGCTCCCTATCTCAGTGACCAGAGAGTGAATCAGAACAGAATTATGGAAGTGTTCAGTAATGTGATGTACATTGTTTGAATATACACATTTATCTAAGTAAGTGATAATGAGAAATGATGAAGTTTAACAATGAAGACCTGAAGCACCTCAGACAGCCAAGAGAGACAGATACTCAAAACCTTGGATTTTGATTTATGTTTCTGCCAGCCTAAAAAATTATTAATAACTGATGCATGCAGTGCTAGTGTGGCTTGCTGCCATTTTTAAACACATTCAAAGCAATTTCTCATTTCTATTAATGCCAAAGTAGTACTTCACACTTACCATACTGTCTTGTAAAAACACTATTTGCAACCTCAAAATTAAAGCAAAAAAATACATTTTTTGTCTCATTTATTAGGAAATAAGACAAAACTCAAAGCAATTTCTTTGCTAGTACAGCAGATCAAATATTTAAAATTAGTAAAATATTTTACTAACCAGCTGCAAAGCCCAGTTCTTCAGAGACAAAAACTGCAGTCACAAGGAGAAAAAAAAAGCATATAAGCTAAAAAAACAATAATAATTCAAATAAAGTGAGAGAAATTCTAAAAATAGCAGTGGTATGTTACAGTACAGCACTCTACACTGGTAACTCCCAGGCCTCCTCCCATCTTGAACTCCAAACTTTGGTGGAATGATCAAACCCAATTGGTCAGTTAGAAAACCACTGACCAATTTAATGCAGTCAATTCATGATTTAGTGAAACTAAGTTTAGTATTAAAAATACTTACAGCTGATTTTTTGATCAAAAATCAGGGAAGTTATGTACTGAAATATTTCCAGCAGACATGGGAAAGTTTTGCCTTTTCACCAACCAGGTATTTTGTACCTATGTCTTACTAAAACATTGTAGGGGGTTTATTTTTATTAAAAATTGTTCAAGAAAACTTCTTCAAAGAATCCTCATTATTAGAAAAAAAGAAGGAAAAGCATCAGTACTCACAGCATTGATCTCTCCAGTTTTGGGGCCCCATGGTGTATTTGGTTCTACAAGCACATCACATTCAAGGCCTTTGTCATCACCAAGCCCAATACCAGAATCACTTTGAGAGAAATACAGAAACCAAAATTAAATATTTCTATTCCACTGCTTCAGAATCAGTCCCAATTGACTGGACATGTATCAAGAGAGCAGACAGACCTCTGAGTCAGGCACATAACATCTTGACAGAAATACATTAAAATATAAAGATAGCAGTGAATGCTTACGGGGGCTGAGTGACTAAAAGCTTGCTTGAAAAGTGAAAGGAGAAAGTACTCGTTCTTCAATTTCCAAGTAAACAATCAAAAATAAGGTGCCCTTAGAAAGGCCTATGACTCATTTTGAAATGAGAGAGAGCTCCAATATAACAGCACACGTGTTCACTGTTGAGGGCTAAGCTATTTCTGTAACTCAATACAATGTTCTTACCTGTTCTCATCCTTGGTGAAAGGAACAACTATAACATCTCTATGATGCAGCAGATCATTCAAGATCTGAGCAGTCTGAGATGGCAGAGCATCCCCCTCTTCACTTGGACATGGCAAAGCATCCCCCTCCTCACTCTGAGATGGCAGAGCCTCCCCATCTTTGCTTTCTGGAGGTAACTCCACCAGATGATCCCTCACTTTGCAGCCCTGCAATACACAGAGGCAGAAGATCAAATATTGGTGTTAATGGGGAGAACTGATTCCAGTCAGTATAACAACAAAAGTTCAACTTCTGAATTCCAATCCTTATTTTGGATAAAGACCCATTTTCCTAACACACTGTTGCCCACCCCAGCACGTGCTGTGCTCTGTAAAGGAGAGCTGAAGTACCTTTGGGAGGGTTGTGGGGTCAAACCGAAGAACTTTTTGGTTACAGCAGGGATAAACTCCTGTGCCAGTGGAGCCCAGAGCACTTGCTACACCTGGATAAAGAACTGGCTGCGAGTGGTACTGGCAGTGGGAGAACTCAGTGCACAGGAAAGACTACAACAGCAAAAACACAGAGAGTGAGAGGTGAGACAACCTATGGAAGGAAAAGTTCTGCAAAGAATGTGTACCTAGCTTTATTAGCAAATATTTTCCAAACAGCTTTAATCCCAGCTTCACCCCCTAAAAGTCATCCACCACAAGCTAAAGTGAAATTCCCTAGCCTGGTTACCACAAGCCAAAGGGAAATCACCTAACCTGGTTACATCTTGAGCAGTTCAACCAGTTGACCGTTCCCCAAAGGCGCCAGTAAACATCCCGCCAGGATTTCAGCTCCTCGTGAAGGCCAATTAAATACTCATGCACTTCCCAGGTTTTGTCTCTGAAAAAGCAAAACAGCAGAGAGTTGGCTCTGTTTTGATCCTGCCACCAGGAGCACAAGGTGGAGAAAGTGCAGAAAACACCAGTGAAAAGCCTCCAGTAGTTACAACAGGAGGGATACAATGTGAAACAAGAATTACCAAATTCAGAGCATGACAGAGGAGACTTTATTCTTTCAGAAAATCCTAAACTCACTCATAGCAAAGAGTTACAGCTTGATTCACTTCAAGATCCATATACTGCAAATTTACAAGCTAAGATAAATATCTTCTATCTATCTGCAACACAGTAGCTGAGAAATACAGTTTGAAAACACAAGCTCATGCCCTTTTGATGAAGGTACATACCTGGCAGTTCTAGTATCAAAAATACAGGACTTTGTTGCTTCCTTGTAATCACATCAGACACACCTCTTCAGAATTCAAAAGAGAATGTGCATCTTGCAGTGGGGCATGTTATCTTCAGGAAAAACAGATAAAATTTCCTCCCAATTTTAAGCCCTGGCCTGAACCATTTTTGTTAAATGTGAGCCTATCCTAGACTAAGCAAGTCTAGGATAAGTAAGTCTAAGCACACCCAGTTGGATGTCAGTTCTAGGCACCACTACAGGACCAATAAATAGAAACTTATTTTTAAACTATTAAAGACAGAACTGTATTAGCTCCTAAGCCTGAATTCATTAGTGGCCAGCATCACTTCTCAGTAAACACATTCTGTATAGCAAAGCATCACAAGCAGCACAACACAAATAATTAGAATCTAGATAATCCTCTGAGTAACTTTAAAGCCCTGCACATTTATCTGCTGGGAATTGCAGAGCAGCTACATACACTGAGCTTAAGTGAAGTAATGCAATTAATGAATTGTATGTGACTAATCACCAATGATCTTAAATAGGTCAGGACAGGGACACAAGATCTGGTTCTATGTAGATGCCAGGCAGGACTTAACTCCACACCTTGGTGAGAGCTATATGGAACTGTTTGGGCTGTTCTGAACAAAAGGGATCTGATGGGAAAGGTCTCCTGTCCTTAATCTCCCACCATCCCCCTTAAAATGGGCATGTGGGGAGGGAGGGAAGTGCAGCTGATCTTGGACTGATCTTCATGAACAGGAGAATCCAGCTGTTCACAGCCACAGATCACAGAATTCAATTAAACATTTGTGCCAAATGAGTCAGGCCTGCAAACAGAACAGGTCCTGCAAGCTCCTCTGATAAATACTGCAGGAACAGGAAAACAACTGGCAAAGTTTATTCACAGCAGCCTTTAAGCAGGTTGAGCATTTGATTTGACAGTATAAAGTCAGATTAGAAAATACTCTTTAGCCTTTCCTTGCTGACACAGTGGGGTCTATTCTTCACTAAAATCTTGCAGAAATGCAGCATTTCATTCAATCTCTCATCAGCTGCACACATCTTAAAACCATCTGATGAAAGAATTAGCTGAGTATTTTCTATTTAAAGCAGTGCAACCCAAAAATAGCCTTCTCAGTAATCATGGCTGCAGTTTTCCCATTTCCATTCAGCAGCAGCACAGCTGAATGAATTTCAGTAGCACATCATCATCACAACCCCCTGTTTTATTTTTTGCTAGGTAATACAAGAAGTTGAGATGCTTCATACACTCTTCACATATCTGTGATTTAATTTTGAAATGTATCTGAGTATGTAGTACTTGTAAAATCACCCAAAATCAGAGTTGAAGAAACATTTTATATATGTACATATTCACTACCTTATATGAACATAGACAATATTCCCATGTTGGTCTATGTTGATTTTTCCTGGTACACAAGGAATTCTCCTTTCAGTTTCTTTGGTTAGCAACTTTTTACATAAACAACACCTAGATTAAAAAAAAAAAAAAAAAGAGAGAAAAGAGAAAGAAGGAAAGAAAGCACTGGAGTAAGAGCAGGGCTTTTAAACACAGGGGCTGTCCTTGCTATTGAAGCAGCCATATAAAAATGCCATACCTGTATAAAGTTGCTGCATTTCCTCTGGAATCTGGATTTACATACTCTGGATCAAACAGTCTCTCAATCTTCTTGCAGAAAAGTTTACTATTAATGACAGCAACACAGCTCACCCATTAGAAAAAAACCTGAAAATTGCTTTATGTATAGTGAGATTAACAATCACATTCTGATAAGCAAAGTCACTCACAGAATCTAGCTTTTAATATAATTTTCCTTTAAATTATCGTGTCCATCTCATTTTTACACAAGTGTGACAAAAGTGATATTTTGATTTCTTTCTTTATTAAAATGCTTGCCTATATTATCTGCCAGCTTCCACCTTGATTAAGAGACCTTTAATTAGTGCATATTGCTGAGAAACTGCACTGCATTTCAGGATTAAGCCTTCATCCCTACAGACTCAAATCCTCCCTTACTTTCACCTTGCTTGTCTGTCAGTCTCCCTCCAATAACTGGCCCTTACCTTGATACTGAGCTGGGATCCTGATGTAAGAAAGAACATTCCAGCACAACTATTCAGCCTCCCAGCCACCCTGAATTCTAAGCCCAAGCATCCAAGCTCACAGGATGCTGAAGCCAAACCATTTTCTACCAATTAGGAGCATGTCATCCCTTAAAAGGTTTCTCCCCTAATCCTTGCTCCCATGTGAGAATTCATGAATAATTCTCCCATGCCATGCTCCTAGTGTGGCCTTTCCTATAAACACTCTTTCCTTCTGCTCATAATTTTAATATAAAGTTCTGAAGTAACACCATTATATTCTGCATTAAAAATACATTCCATGAGATTAAATATAATATATAATTTCAAACTGCACAGCCTTAGCTGTTACAAAATATGATCTCAAAGCTCAACAGCACTTCAGAAGTGTTTTACAAGGCAAAAAAGTTACCTCTTAAATTTGTCTCTCTTGTCCTTCAGCTCCTCCACCTCATTGTGCCTGAAGAGATCAGCAATGTGTGTAACAAGATTAGCATTGATACAGTTCATGTTACACGGCGTGGCTACAATAGCATTCATATTTTTGTGACAGTAATGAATACATTTTTCTACCTAGGAAAAACAGAAATACCAATGTTAAGGAATTGTAGACAAAAGCCCCCCATGCTAATTGCTGCAAGACTTTTATTTTAAGCGTAGTGTTTTGGAAAACTATTTCAATTTGACTTAAAAATAAAAAAGCCTCAGATTTGCCTAAACTTGATGCTGAATGACATTACTTAGTTTATGTTCTCCTCCAAAAATCTCAGTAACCTTCCAATTGCTTGTTGAAATAGAGCCACAAAACTCATGGATCTCAACTGCAACAGCCATGCTTTGCTGTGGGCCACTCCAATGACAGAAATTTTGACAAACATTTCAACAAAGTCAGCAGCTATTATACAGAGCTGGAAAATCAGATCCTGAATTGCAAACATATCATTCATGTAGAAAAGGATATAAAACAAGCACTCTAGATCACACTACCACATTTAGAAATAACATACTCTTTATTGCATTGAGTCTGCAAATACTGGATTACTGCACTGAATAGAAGTGTTCAAAATCTCAGTGTTCTCCTTGCAGCACCTGTTTATGTAACAGCCAAAGCACAACAAACAAGCTGTTAAGACACCTGGTAATTAACTGTGCCCTCATGCCAGAAAATCAATCTTCTTAATACTTACTAATGAATCCATCTTCAAAAACTCAGAAGAAATGAGGATTGAGATGACATTTGATGGTTCTAGAAGGCAACAGAACAAAGGTGGGGTTTTTTACATGGATTTTTTTTTTTTGTAATTTCACATCACATCCCTCTCTCTTCCTATTTAGCATGTTAGCTATTGTTTTAGCATTCAACTTGCCATTCCATCTTCCAGAATACAGAACGTTTTAATCATCTTAAGAAATAAACTTTTGGTTTACCATTTCAGTGGCTAGGGTAGAACTATAACCTGGAAAAATTATTATAATTGAAACCTCTTTAAAATTGGAAAAGGAGGCTTCACAGGGATGCAATGACTAAACAATTACACAAGATTAACTTCCATCTGTAGCCATCACACTCAGCTGAGATTTCTTCAACATAACCTCCACATTGCAAGTTATAAACAAAGCAAGAGAAGAAAGTTATATTTTAAAAAGTGGTAGGAAAGGCTCATTAAAAAATTAAAAACTTGCCTCAAAATCCACAAAGACTCTTATACCATTGTATTGGATTGCATTGAAATTGTAGAAAACACTGCAATTATACAAACAGGGAGCAGAGGAGAAACAAACAAACCAATCATCAGCATTTAAAATCTACCACTCTGCCCTTCGTCAGAAGGGGTCTGAAGAGTCTTAATTAAAACCATCACATCCCAAAATATATTGGGGCTTTTTTATTGCTTCAACTTTCAGCATGTTTGTTCAAAGCTGTCAGTGCTGGCAAAGCAGAGCCATCTGCTGAAATGACCAGAGGATCTCTGCTGCAATACTCTTCAACAACTGATGCTGCCTTGGGAAGGCTGCCCTAGAACAGAGACTAGATGGAGCTAAAGAATAAATAGGGATTTATTAGTAGGGATTTATTAAAAGGCCTCCGTGGATGCACCTTGGGCAGCACAGGAGCCCAGCCAGGGCTGCACTCAAGATGAACCAAAATGGCCCCAAAATGCACAACTGGGCACGGGGTCTGTCCCTGGGATCAGTTCTGCTCCATTTGCACCTTGCAGTTCATTGTCCCATTCCAGCTTTAGACCAGGCAGTCCCACTCCTCTTGTTTTTCTCTCTCCAGCCCATGGTGTTTGTGCTCTTGGGCTGAGATTTGGATCATTTGTCCTTGGTGCCCAGCTGGAGCAGGAATTGTTTTGTCTCCCTGCTCTGTGCACAGAGCTCAGCATCCCATAATATGGAGCCCAGACCCACACACTAAAGCAGCACAGAATATGAAAAATATAAAAGTTAAACCTGAGGCATCACTGACAACAGTCAGAAACAGATTGGGGCTGAACTGCAGCAAAACCATTCATCATTAATTAGTACAGAACATAACAAACCTAAAAGAAATGATCTGCTTTTACCTAAAGTGGGCATTTCATCAGCCTCAGACTCCTTGGAGTTCCTTTTGACATATCTTATCAGCCAGTCAAAGATGTGAACATCACAGTGCACAGAAATGTCCACCTCCTCCCAGCGCTGGGCATCCACGGACAGGTACTCAGCAAAGTATTTCATCTCTGACACCAACAGGTCTCGAGGACACACAAAATCTTCTTTGAGGTTTTTGGCTTCGTCGCACACGTGGATCACCATATTGGGCCTCCAAAGGAAAACAGCCACAAGGCAAATTAGGAGCCTGAAGAATCAGAACACCAAATCCCAACAACCTCATCTCCTGCTCTGGGTCACGCATTGCAACACTGATGACACCAACAGGGTTTATTAACAGAGGGAAAACAAACTGCAGTTATTAACTATTAATAGAAACTATTGTTGGGCAGGTGAAGAAGACAGAGGCATATCATCTACAGATAATCAGAGTGATTTAATTAAGGAAATAGAAATAGAAAGTTTCTAGCTCACTTCCCCATTTTTGTCACCTGTTTGTTATAGGATACTACCTGAGTTATATGGAGAACTTGTTTGTTCTCCCTTCTTAATTTTCCTCAAAGAATAACCAGATATAGATGCCTAAATCACTGAGGCCCCAAGGACATTAACAGCAATTTTCATCAGTGGAAATTAAGATTTGGTTTATTGCATATTAAAAAATCTCTATTTCTTAAGAATTGCTTGAAGCTAGGCTCAGTAAACGCTGTCTCTACAGAGAGATGCTTAAGTTTCAAACAAACATTATTTTATGTGTAATTATACAGTGTGGAAAACAGGGATATGTGATGGAATAAAAGTGACCTGGATAGCTACTGGAATTCACGGGGAATTTTTTCACTTACAGCTCTTTTCCTGCTTTTACATAGGACAAATCTACGTTCAAGAGTATTTTCAAAAGTGTAATTGACCATCAGTCTTGTTTCATTCCTTTATAAAACCAGGTGTGTTTCTCATTCCTGTCACAGCAGTGATCAATCACTCAGAGGAACATACATTTATAAATACCTTCTGTTGCTGCAGAAATTCAAGGAGTTGGTTGATAAATATCAGCAATGTTTCTGTCAATTCTACAACCCCTTAGATAACAAACACAAAGCTCTTCTTACCCCTGGGTTTCATGAGTGCTTTCCCCACTGTTGTGGGCAGGACCTTTCTCAGATTCTGAAGAACAGCTCCTTGTGGAGGCTGCACTGGGCCTTCCTTCAATGTAAGGAAAAAAGGCAGCATTAGAACAAAAACTCCTCATCTTTGGCTCTTCAGCACATTGGAAATGCAACTCAAGTGTGGCTGTCATGGTGGAGCAATGGCACACAGATTGTTCCAGGAATAAAGGACAGGTGCACTTCAAATAATTCATCTTCACAAAGGTACTGCAAGCAGTGGGAGGTGCACACAACCCAGTGAGGTTCAGGAGCTCAGGCACCAAATCACTGAGTGCTGGACCAAGGTTAAAGCAGTGACTGGCATTTCCAGCTGTGGATGGATTTCTGCAATGTGAAACTTCAAGAATCTTGCTTAAAAGTCAGAAAGATCATTATCTTTTCTAAACAATGGAAGGACACATATCTGTCTGCCACTGAAAACCCTAGGGTGGTGATTTTCCATGATTATGCCATTCTCTCAGATTTCTGGGAGTTCCAGAAACATCATCTCCCTCTTGAGTCATATAAGAGACTGAAGAAGATTAAGACAGACCCCTTCATCTTCATCTAATGGCTAAACAACTACAGCAGACTGACAGCAAAAATTGCATGGTTCAGCACACAGCAGTTATGCCCTTCAGGAAAGCAAAATAACTGCACCAGAGGCAGAAGAAACTAAACTTTCTCCAAATTTAGTCTTCTCCAAAGGCGTTGCACAGTTAAGTCTTAGTAAGGCCTAAATAGAGGGAGCAGAACTAGCAGAAGGGAAGTCACCCAACAGATTCACTCCCAGTGAAACCTTGGGCAGGGCTGCTCCAGCCACAGCTGTCTGGGCAGCCATCCTCACTGCAGGAATCACAGGTGTGAGTTTTGCAAGAAGGGACTGTGGAGATACATGATATTAAATGCAAATGCATTAGCAAGTCCATTGTGAGCACAGTGAAGTGATTTATTGAAGGCAATAATGCTGGCAAGACTATGCAGCACAGCCAAATGAATGGGGACATCTGAACTTCCCCACACATTGCTTCCTAGCTTCTTTCCTCCCCTCCAAAGCTTACAGATTGATTGACCTTGTAACAAATCCTGTAGGTAAAAGCTGTCCTCTGTGCTTGTTTACTGTCATGAGATGCAATCTGAGGGACTTACCAGCAGTTGGCCTTATAATTAGCAAGTATTAAATGAACTTTTATAACTCAGCCAAATCCAGAATCCAGCACAGAGTGAGTAAGGTATGATTTGCTTTTTCTTGCTGTTACTCATGACTACAAACAAATGCAAACAGGCAAAAATTCTTGATCCTAACAATTAGCTAACATGAATAAATCCAGTAGGAAGCAATTAATTAAACAAAAACCATTTACAAATAGGATTGTCTTAAATCCCCAATTCTGAAATGTAGAAGTACCTCACAAATACTAAGAAGGTGAGTTCACCCAAGCCTGTGAGAAAAAAAGATTAATTACCCTAATTTCATATCAACAAATTACACTCAAACAGGGCAAATGATTTATCCAAAGTCACAAAGAAAACAGAACAATTTCGGGCTGGGATCTTGTCAAAGGAAACATTACATTAGTGGGCTTGACTGCATTAACACTCATTACATGTAGTGCATTGTTAGAAAGAGAACATGCACTAATTGTCCCAGGAGTTCCAGAGGCAGAGTTAGCTCGTTAACTCTCCTCTGGGAAGCTGCTAATCCTGCAAACAGGGAGCTGTGGGTGCCAGCAGCACCCATCCCCAGCAGGCAGGGAACACATCACTGAAAGCTGATGGGAAGCACTCCCAGGCTTGACACTGCATACACATTTTCCAGTATCAGCCCTTGATTAGAGTTATTAAAACCACTTTGAACAAAGGTCAAACAGCTCTTTTTCTGCTGCAAAGGGGACAGTGAAAGCTGCAGTGAAGGACATTTTAACAGAGAACAGATTTAAATGCTTCACTGTCATCTTAATTTTCAACACAGAAATTATTTATTCATCACTGAAGCAAATTTGTGGTGCACATACATCTACCAAGTTCTAAAGTCACTGGAACATCTCTGTACTGAAAATCAGAGAATAACACACACACATTTAATTAAAACTTCTGACAGAAGCAGTACAAAAGGAATTGTTAACAATATTTAATTGTGCTATGATTGAATTCACAACTATTGGGTTTGGTCCTCTGCTGCCCAATAATTACTGGGACACATAATTGACCAAGACACATTTGTCATCTCAAGATTGTCTTGAAGCAAAAATTAGCTACATTTTGCTCCTCTGTACCTATCCATTGCCATTCCAGGTCTTGTAGCTGGGAGAGGAAGGTTTGCCCTCCAGGGATCTCCTCCTCAGCCTCCTGCAGCTTTTCCTCACAGTACTCTCCAGTTATTTTAATAACACTGCTAAATGTGACTTCAGATGCTTGCAGGGTTAAAAGCACACCACCAAAATCCTAAACACAATTCAGCAGAAAGATTTATACCTCTTGGCAGGACAAATTCCCAAAAATACCCAGCAAACATTGATTTTTAAACTAAACTAATGGCAAGTGCCTTGTTGTATGCATTACATTCATACTGTACCCCCCAAAGATGAACGTCGACCATTCCTGGGTGGAATTAACCCCTCAGGCCAGAAGCATGCACACACTGATTACCAAAGGCAGTACAGGTGAGAAGGACTGAAAACATACCAGTGATAGTAATGGAATCCTGCCCAAGAGCAGGCTCCTGAAACTCTGCCTGGGAATCCAGCAGGGAGGATTTGATGTAGGTAGCTAAAGTCTCCACAGGGCTCCCACCAGCAGCCAGCAGGGCGTTGTACTGGTTGTCAACAGGTGAACTTCCACTGCTTTTTAGCTCATCAAACCTTTTTGCACACTGTCACAAGAGTAAATGATAGGACAATGAAGCAGCAGCTTGCAGCACATTTTAAATAACTGTGATTTGAGATGGATACTGTATTGCACAAATGCTGCCTATGTTGTTAGTGGTATCAGTATATATAAACACAATAAAATAATAGCTACTATAATTAAATAACAGAAAGAGAAATAATTAAGTAGAATCTGTTTAAACTTTCATTTCCTTAAACCCTTTGAGGTTTTAAGCCCAGTTTTCAAAAGAGAAAGTTATGGGGAGAGTTTGAATTCTCATTTTGTAGCTAGTTTTTACCATAAACATGGTGAAATATTAAGAGTGGCTACAGAAATTGATCCACAATTATTATTCTTTTACTTTATGGCTTCCATTCCAATTAGGACAAAAGGGACTGCTGCTTTCCACTGCAATCCTATAAACTTCCCATCCCCAGTTTTTGATGAACTAGAAAGTCTTTCTGTCCTGTAAATTTGTATCAACACAATCATAATTACAGGTTTGGTTCAGCAAAACCCTACACAGAGGTAACCCGCACATACAAATAAATCTATTTAATTCTACAGGTGCTCCTCCTGTGACACAGGTGTGGGGCTCCATTAGCAGCTGGTTTTATTTATTTATTTAGGGTTAACAGACACTTCATGCCAGTGCCCCTTTGGGCCAGGGGCACACAGGGACATCCTTCTGATACTCACAGTGTCTCAAATTTGGGATGGCAGTCACAAATTTGATATATCTGTGCTTTTATCTAACTGCCTTAAATGGGGACTCCTTAAATAGGGACATATTGGAGACATTCAGTCCTGTAAGAACAGAGTAATCAGACTTGCACTAATCAATCACATGAATCAATGTGAGGAGAGGGCTCACTGATACTGTTATTTTATTTAACAGGCACAGTGCTGTCTGCACATTGAAAGGTGAACAACAGAGGTGTCCCCAAGCCTCTGCCAAGAACTTGAAAGGCAGCAGCATTCCACAGAAGCTTCTACACCCAATCCTTCATTTTTCTGTTTGAAACCCAAGGTTACAGCAACACCCAGTAGCACTGCTATAAATGGGAGCTGACACACTTGATTAGGTTTGCAAGAAAGTCAAGACCACTGTCTTGTTTTCTTTCAGCTTTGCTGAATCACAAGGGCAAAAGACTTATTTTTTCTTAGCTTACACCCTCTCAGAAATTAAAATATCAAAATTATTATTAAAAAAAGAGCATTTCACCAGGAAATTCAGCAATCCAGAAAGAGAAGGATACAGAGGTTCTTCCAACTCTACGCCAACCAAAGGAAGAAAAATCCACAAAGCAGCAACTGCACCCCTTACCCAACAGAGATCTGTAACCCCTCCTTGTTCAGAGTTGTAACACACACACAGAGTTTTTAGGGTTCCCAGTGAGGACACCACAGCCTGCACAGGGTTAGTGGGTACTGGCATCCCTTCCACCCAAGTCCCAGCTAGGGAGTTTGGAATGCAGTAGCACAGCTCCCTTTTTTAATTTCACTTCTTAATTTTTCCTTCCCAGTAATTTTCATTCTTATTCTGTGAAATACTTAATACTGAAATTCTTAATGAAATACAATGCAGAATACATTTCTCAAAACAAAACCCTCCACCTCATTTCAATCTACTGCTCATTTAACTTTTTCAATTAGGGGCAAATTATTTTAGGAAAAAAAACCAAACCTTAATTTCAATTTCCCTCCCCCCAGGAAATGTTTTCCTCTCCATAAGGCATTGCTCAAAGCACACAAATCCTTTTATTAGTGCACTCACTTCTTTGGAGGTGTATCCTGGAACCAGCCTTGCCACACTGTCCCAGTTGATGGGCTGAGGAACCCCAATGAGGGAGCACAGGATCATATCCAGAACCATCTGGTTGTTGTCATAGGGGAAGTTATTGTTTTCTGAGAACCCACGACTCATCTTTGGCTACTTGAGCCTAGAAGAGAAAGAGTTTTTAGCAAATCTCACTGCATGGTTTGCTAAGACTTGATCTGCTTTACCTGCAGCACTCCATAAATTACTGGGGATAAATTACCACAGCATTGAAGTCAAGCACTAAGGCTTTCTGACAAAATTTACATATTCTCAGAGCCCTGAGGGAGAAGCAGATGAGCAAAGCACACCAAGCCCAACCCAAGAGCAGCAGCAGGTATTATCCACCTTTCCTCTGAGCTGCCTCTTCCCAGAGAGGAAATCTCATCTCTGACACAAGAGAAAGGTTTCCAAAATCTCAGCATAACCAGGCAAAGTTACAGAGGAGCATTTCAATGCAAATTTACACACGTTCAAGTACATTTTTCTGTTCCCACAAACCTCCTGCTCTCCTCATTGCTCAGCCCATCTCTGACTGCCATCATTCAGAAGCCAAGCCAGGAGACCAATTTAAGGGCCAGCAACACTTGGGAGCCAGGAAACCACACCTGGATCTCCTGCAGCTCTCACTCCCAACACCTGACACTCCCAACTCCTTATGAGCAGCTCCAAAAACCTCTCATTCCTCAGCTTTAAGCTGAACACCAGAACAAAGCACACAACAACAGCAGAAAACACTTTATAAAACAAGATTACATTTGTTAGTTTTTTTTCTTCTTTTGTATGTATAGCACCAGGGAACAGAGTTAAAAGTTCAAGGTACTGATTTAGTTTCTGCTGGGAAACAACTGTGGGCATTAATTAACAGTTTCACATCAAGAAAAGCACAGCCAAAGAACTCAGAATAGAAATACTTAATAACAGAACTTAAAAGCCACACACCATTTTTTTACTTGTAAAGCAAGAATTATAGAGAATTTGAGAGAAAATACACCTGATAACTTGTTACTAAAAGCATAACATACATAGATGTTTCTTTTGCATCACCCTCTTTCTGAAAGAAAATATACTTGAAATACACAAAATATCCCTGGTTTTTTCTCCCTCTAGAAGCTGTTCCAGCCCTTTTTTTCTGCTTGTTTTGTTGGTAGAAACAGAAATCACAGCAGAGGTAACTGTAAGCTTTCATCCTCTCCAAAGAGCAGCTGAATTAAATCAGAGAGAAAAAAACCCAGAACCCACTGAGAGAACTCTTTGGTTTCCCACAGTCATGAGATTTAAAAAGAAGGGGAAAAAAGCCACAAAACAGAGGACAAGCCCTATAGAAAATTTCATACCATTCCAGCAATTCTGCCTAAGTGAAATCTGCTGTGAAATATGCCAAACAGCCAGTTTTAGAAGAGAAAGGTCCTTACAGGTTCCACGAGCCCAGAATTCTGAGTAAAAGAGGAATTTTACGCTGTCAGGTAAAGTGGATCAGTGCGTGTGTCCCTGTCTCAGAGGGCACTTTGGGGCAGTGTCACTGTGGTGATTCCCCAGTGCAGACTTCTCTCTGTCAGGTTGCAGACAGATGTCAGCATTGTTTGCATGAGATAAATAAGTGATGGAGTATTATAATCCCGTGGTTTCCCACCATAAAATAGGCTTAATGTGAGTGGAATTACCAGCAATGTCAATATTCCATGAATCACCATTTTGAGGGCGAGGGCTATGGGATGATTACACTGGGCAATCAAGGAAAGAAAGGGAGAAGGAAAACTTTCTCTTTGTTTGTTTTTGCAAAAGAAAGGAGCATGCAATTTACAGGGGAAAATTCTGAGTGCTTCAGTGGTAAGAAGTTTACTGCACATCAAGCGTGTGGAGCATGAAGCAGCCCGAGCATGAAGGGATGACAGGTGCTCTAAAACGGGATGACACCTTCAGAGAGAATCAAGTCTTTGTCTCTCAATACAGGCTTCCTAATTTGCTTATTCAGCACATTAAAATACAGTTCTCTATATGCTTATTACTGCAAAGACAAATGAAAGAGGAGACTTAATTACAGGCATACAGAAGTATTTTTATTTATATTCTGCAAAGAGCACAGGACTCCTCTTTGCAGCTTTACACATGACATTCAGTGTTTGCCTTTTTGTCCTTTAGGAAACCCTGTTGAAAATATAAAGACACATGCAAGATTCTGTCTCATGCAAGAACTCTCTAAAAGCTGCAAAATAAAGCCTGTAAGAAATCATATTCTTAAGAGAAAAAGCAACTTGTACAGATTCTCTCCACTCTATTACTGCAAGGAAAGCTCAGGTTAACCCCTTCTTCAACTATGACAATTGGAAAAAAAAAAGTTTCCAAATTATTTAACTCCAACCAACTCATTTGAGATGCACAGCATATAAAGATACATGACAACAGAAATTCCTATTAATACTGAGAATTCCCTATCAAGCGGTGCAAAGGATTCCCAAGAGTTAATTCATTATGGAAACACACAATCTGATTCGACTTTTTCGTGATATACAGCATGTCATTAAAGCAGGAAGGAAGGAGGGATTGCTGTTCCTCACAGCGTGAGGGAAGGTGAGGATGGAGGGAGGGATGGGCAGAGGTTCCATCCTCAGCCGAAACGCAAGGAAGTGATGGTGCAGAATGAGGTTGCGGACAGGAACAACAGCAACTTTGCTGCTTGCCCGCGAACCAGCCAACGTTAAAAACTACAAAGCCTTTAAATTAAAAATATAAAAACCCGTCACAGGCGATCTACAAGTGCGGCAACCTCAGAGCGGGGACCCCGATGGTTCCCCGGGGCGCTCCCCACCGGGACCCCTCCCAGTTTACCTGGCGGTTCCCAGGCGCGGGGTCAGCGGGACGGGATGGGACGTGCAGGGGGGGCTCCTCCCTGGGCCGATCCGGTGGGGCAGCAGCGGGACGGGGGCTCGGCTCCACCGCAGGACCGAGCGGGACCCGCGAGCGCCCCGTCCGCACCCGCCGCGCCCTCATCTGCCGGCGCCGCCCGGGCCCGCCCTAAGGGGAGGGGCGGCAGCGCCGGGAGGGGAGTGGCCCTCGCCAATGGGAGCGGGGCCCGCGCGGAGGCCCCGCCCCCCCGCGCGGGGTGCAGCCAATGGGGTGGCGAGGAGCGCTCCCGCCCCGGGCGCGCGGCGGCCCCGCCTTGCCGCAGTGCAGCGGCGGCCGTGGTGGCGCCCCCTCCCGCCCTGCGAGCGGCGTCCGGTCGCCCCGGCAACGCGCCGCCCCGCGCGGCGTCACGGTGACGTCACGGCGCGCCTCGCACAAGTGACGCGATCAGCGTGGCGTACGCACACCCGTCATGACGTCACGCCAGCTCTGTCCCTCCGGTGGCTCCGCTTCCCGCAGCCCCAGCTGACCGCAGCGCTCCCGCCCGCCGGAACCCCGCGGGGAAGGACGAGCCCGGCCAGGGGAGCTCGTACCGCCCGACGATAACAAATATATAAAATATATAAAATAAATAAATAATGCATCAGACACGAGAGTCTGGCTCGTGACGTAAGCACAGCTAATTAATTAAACAGCAATGTGTCAGTGCACTCCATGCTCCCACCACAGAGAAGCCTTTCCCAGGTTTGCAGCTGCTGCAAGCACTTGAGCCGCTGTTAACATAAAAACCAGCAGCAGAACACTGAAATTGTTGTTAATTACACAGAACAGCCCCAGCGCTGGGAGTGGCTCAGCAGAGCTACCCTGCACAGGCTCACACTGTCCCAATGCTGTTATTTCACCCACACACATTGATTCCTGCTGCATGGCTACTGCTGTCTCAAGTATTCCCAAACATTTTCAAATTGCTTCCTGTGGGAAGCCACCAGTGCTCGATAAAGACCAGCCCAGATCTCCATTTCCTACATAACAATCCTTCCCTTCATGGTCATTTGGCAAAAATCTGGGATATTCATAATTTTCTTTCCAAAAAACTTACTTGCAAACTGTGAGATAACACAGTGAGGACAGAGAACACAAAAAAAAAAAAAAAGCACAGAAAAATTCAGAAAAAATTATTCCGCCAATCTAGAGAAATATCTGAAATCTGAATTCCCTAAGTCAGTCTGAATGCTCCCCTCAGGTCTCAGGGAAAGCAAAACCCACTGGTTTCATACCACCCACAGAATAAACTAATGCTGGAATATTGCTGCATTATGACGACATCCAGTCATTCCACAATGAATGGAAACCTGATGGTATGGCAGAGAACTGGAACATGGTTTTTTCATTAATCTGTGCTTTTAGGCAGGAGTCAGCCCCCTCCTGTTTATTTTTTTTTAAATTGGAAAGACATTATCAGTATTTGAGAATAAACAAAAAAAATCACTATCTTAAATTTTACTCATGTGCTGTGCTAGATCAGTTACATTAATTCAGAGGTAGTAGAGCTGTCTCTTTGTATTTTTAATTTCAAAAGCTCAAGACTGTGTTTCTACTCTGACAGCATAAATAATCCCTGTCACTTGCTGGAGTCTGATGGTTTTGTGACTGTTGTGAAACTCAGGGAATTGCTCAAAGCAGGTAAGGAGGATCCAGGGGTGCCTGCGCTGACATCATGCCCTGTGACCAGTCAAACCAGTCAGACCAGTGCAATTGTCCCACGGAGAGATTATGCAGCAGTTAAAGGCTGAGCTGCTGTGGCCACAGAAGGCAGGGCACAGATTTACCAGCCCAAAGCTGCTTCAGAGTGCCCTGCAGAGGAAGAGGAAAGGATGTGTGGGCACTCACAATTACCACCTGCCTTTAGAGCCCAGAAATGGTCACCAATCCCAACACCTGGGCCACACCTGCATGGATAAACATCTGGAAGGAATTACACAAGAACATAATTCCTTTGTGAAAATCAAGAACAGTTCTGCTATGATTGCACACAAGAGCATTCCTACAGTGGTTTAGCAAGAAATCCCTGTGCTGGTTTCCAGGTTTGCATCTCTTCTGGAAGGCTTTCATTGCCAACAGAGGAGATCTGTAAGAAACTGCATTTGCTTTGTATTTACCTCAGCAGCAAATCCCACCAAGTCAGAAGAACCTTAATATCCCAGATGGAGTCCAATTCCACACAAGGAAGAATTTTCAACCTGTGCAAAGTGGCCCATTTATTTCTACTAGACAAAGAGAGGATTTTAAATTGATTTTTCAGAGAGCTGAACAAAGCTTTGACCCTTTGCATGTTCATGTTCAGTTTGCACCCTGAGAACCACTCAGCAGTGGCATTTGTCAGTAGCTCACATACTCTAGCAGAAAATGGTTGATCTACTAAACAGTATCAGTAAGATTCAAGAATGAACTATATAAACAGATGTCAAAGTTCTGTTACAGACTTCTAGCTCTGCTACAGGTATATAAATAATTCTGAAGAGTAACATAAAGGTTACTGATAAGTTAAAGAAGGTAATTTATAAGTAAATAAAGGTAACTTGTAAGTCAAAATAAAGCTGCTTGCCTAAAAGCTTAGGTTGGGCAGTATTTCAGGCACCTCTCCTGTCTGATCTCCTGTTCCAGGCTCTCTGTGGCAGCCACACCTGCTCCTTCTGCTCCTCTCCCCTTGCTAAAGCTGAGCCAGTCTGGAGCAGCCTGCCCACCAGCCTTCCTACCCCCCACAGCTCATTCAGGTGTTTTCTGTAGCCTGCCACATGGACAGAAACAGACAGTAAATTGTGCTGTCATTTCACTTCAATGAACTTTAATACCCTTCTGCAATCAATACAATTAATTGGGAGTTAAATAACTCACTTCCATTCCTCAGAGCCTACTTTTCCAATTAAAGTAATTGCAAGATTGAAAGGATCAAAATTCTTGTTGAGATTTAGGAGATACAATGATGACAGTGACTTCTAGGCTGAGTCAAACAAATATAAAGACAACTCAAGTAAGGATAAACTATCTTGCTGCTAAAAGAATTGTTGTCAAAACAGTATGACCTGGAAGTGAAATTAAACTTATCCTTCTAAAAAATAAGACTTAAAACATTCCAACAAGCATCATGGTGTTGTCCTCTCAACTTGTTCTGAGCCAGAAAACAGAGAAAAAAAACCCCAAAAAACTATAACAGACAAAAGGTCAAAAAATCTACCTGAATGGATGCTCTTAAAAAATTTGGGGTTTATTAATTAACTCATTCAGAGACCCTTCCTCTGAAATCTTTCACTGACAGGAGAGGCTGACAGTCCATTAATTACATCTCAGATCAGTAAATGAATTCCCTCCAGGGACACACTCTGCACACAGAATTGCACACATGATACACCCGTCCCCCCTTTGCTTCTCTGTATTTTAAATTTCAGATTTTTTCTGCTATTTTCATTTCAACAACAGATATAATTTTCAAATACAGGTAATTTTCTGGTACACAGGGCAATGTCTCAGGAACATATTCTGTTTTAAACCTCAAGTTTTTCACTTGCCCTTTAACTACTTTTTCCTTTACATCTGCATTTGAAAATCTAACAATTTACTATAAATTATTCTAATCACCATCTCCCAATACCTGAGCACAACCACTGAAATTCATGTTCTATTTATTAACAACAGGCATTCCGAGATTACTTTCAAATCAAGGTTCCAGCATAATATTTGTCTTTTCAGCCACTCTAGCTCAATAAAATTCTGCTCCTTTTTTTAGAGTTTTGTTGTGTTGAACAGACTTCTAAGAAGCCAAGGCCAGCAAATGCCATTAAAATATAAATACTGAAAGCTTTGTTAACACATAATGGGTGTCGAAGATCCCTGTAGGAATGGTCAAACTGAAACTACTCAATCAATTAAGAAATTGCCTGCTTATATTTTCAATAAACCTTAAAATAAAACAATTATTTTAATGATTAAGACAAACTTAGTTATTTAATCCACTGATGTAACCTTCGGAAGTTCAACATGTTATACATACATACTACAAGGAAAAAAAAAAGTTTTAATTGTCTTTGCTTCATTTAACAAAAAACCAAAACAGTATTTCAAGACAGAATTCTCAAACACCCATATGAAGAAAATACTTTGAACAGTCTTAATATTTTTATGGCTTTTGATAAACTGGAGCCCTAAAATTTTATTGGGCAGATGCAAAATTTACCACCTGAAAGGCAGCATGAAAAGTTTGTCCAACTCCAAGACCTTCTCTAAGTGACACAATTAAGCAAGAAATGTTAATTTTTCTTTGATGCTCCAATTACTTTCAGCTTCCCCTAACTCAAGGCCCAAAAACACAGGAGAGATATTTTGACACTGATATAAAATCAATAAAGGACAGAAATAAGCTGAGATGCAGATGGAGCTGATAGATAGGCAGCTAGCAGGCTACATCACAAAAAGGCTGAGAGTGATGCAAAGTTAGCTCAGGGAGTAACAACTAGTGGGTGTCTGACTGCAGAATATCCTTAATTCCAATGTCCTTTCAATAAACCAACCAGAACTGCTTGGAACTACTGGTGATGCCTCACTGCTCTCCCTTTGTGAACTCTATTTCTCCTCCCTTCCTCCCCAGTCCCTTTTTTCCTGAGAGCTGAGTTCTTGATGACAGAGCCCCACTTCTTATAAAAGCAACTTAAACCTTTTAACTATTCCACTGTGTGCATCTCCTGCAGCTCTCCCTCCCTTCAGGGGGAGACAAAGTGCTGTTACTCCTTTATGGTTCTGAGGGTGATGTTTTGGAGGACAACTCACAGAAATCAATCTTCCCTTTGCACATCTGTTGAAGAAGCTTGATACTCCTATGAAGACTGGGTGTTGCTTTGTCTCCTAAGCAAGGATGGCAGTCCCTATTTTCTTTTTTTTCTTTGTTTGCTATTTTATGAATGCCTCACTTCTCCTATCTCAAGATCTCAGAGTGGCTGCCAGGTGGGTGGATAGAATCACTGACGCACAGCCTTAGGTGAGTCAAAAATAAATACCACAAATTTGAGCAATCATTTCTCCATCCCTTCACCAGCCAGTAGCAGCAAAAACTGGTACAGCCCCACCAGTGCTCCACTACAAACCAGATTTCAACAAGCCCTA